TACTAAATATTTAGATACATGCAAACACAACTATAAAATAGAAAATAATTCTAAGTGATTTTGATTACCACAGTCTTGTTTCTCTGATTCTTGACAGGTATAATGTGGATTTAAAAAGTTGCCTGTCCTGGAGACCATTAAGTATGCCAGTCTGCAAGGTGAAGACACCATTTGGTTTGATAGGAAGCCTTCATTCACCTGCAGTATGAGACACTGTATACTGAAATAAAAGCACATTACACTTTTTGGAACTTTACTAAACAGGGTAGACTTTTTAGCTCTARAGGTCACGGTAGGCTTGATCTGGAATCTCCAGCTTCCTGAAACTGTTCTTTTTTTCCTGACTGAAATAGGGGTTTTAAAAAAGCATGTACAGGGGAAAAGTGGAAAGTGTTTTACTTAAAAAAAAGACACTGCATGCAATTAAAAAGTTTGAGTGAATATTGCCAACTACGTGCAGAAGTCATGCAGCTGAGCCACTAAGTAGATCCTGCGTTCCTTGAGCAAAAGACACTTTACTGGGAGTCTTAAGAAAATAAAGAATGCAGTTTTGAATCCAAAATTTATATTATTCCAGATGTGGGTGGGGGAAATACGTATTTACTTATTTAACTGAAAAATCTTGATTCTATGCTGCCAGTCTGTTCTGTTTCTTACTCTCCTCTCTCTTGTTCTTCTGTCTGTCTCTCCCTTCAGCCACAAGCTTCTTTTTTTAGCTCCASCTTCCCACCTTCCCAAGCTTCAGGTATTGCAAAACACACTGCATTTGTCACCACTATGCAGACTTTGTGTGTGGTCTTGTATCTATTTCCTTCTTTTATCTATGGATTTTCTGTGAAGCTAGGATGTCTGTGGAAGAGAGGCAGTATCTTTCCTGCATGTTTGCAGAGCCCAGTGTCCAATTAAGAAGAAGCAAATCTATGCTTCTTATAGCCAGAATGTATTAGAATTCTTTCTGACATTCAGCTCATCATTCTTCCCTCTTCACACATTTCTGATATGTCTGTGCTGGGTTTTTTTAAGAGGAGCCAAGTAATTAGCTCCATTGGAGCTTCTGCCAGTTGCTCATTTAGGATAAAATGTGAATGTACATGCTCTTGCACTATTCACCAGTCAATAAAGACAGAGGCTTCTCCAAAYGGAAACTGCAATTCATGTAATAAGTAAACAGTTGTTCTAGAGATGCTCTACTCCCTTCATGAGCAATTGGGATTGTGTCTTGCTTAGACACAACCTCTAACCTGCATGTTGGTTAGAAGGCTCAAGTTGGGTCAAATGAATCAAGGCCTGAWTTTTGTGGTCACCTGGTTTAGAATTAGGAAAAAAGCTTTGTGTTTGAGCCCAATACTTCATGCTCTGGCAAAGCCTTTTGAAGCCCAGACAATTAAATTCAACATCTACTCTCTAACTGGAAACACTTGAGTAAAAACAGCCTTTCTTGATTGTTATACTAACCCTCATCTGATGGAAGAACCTGTCGATGTCTATGKTTAATGCTGCAAAGCTTGAGTGCTCAGAAAACTTCAC